TCCCTGGTACTGATAAAAAGGAAAAAGACAAAAAAAAAAAAAATGAGGGTGACTATATAGCATGTGTTTGGATTAAACTTCCCTGCGTCTCTAGTCCAAATATTTAAAAAATTAAAAAAAGATTCGTTTAAGTTACTGACCTTCACTCAAGTATGTCCCAAGTTAAAGGTAAATTGATCTGTCAGCAGCTCATTCAAGCCCCTTGTTCCTGTGTCTGTCGCTTGTGCCGTGCTGCAACGCAGCCAGTGGGGACACTGCTGAGCAGGAGGGTGAGGTGAGGCGCTGGGCATTTGCAGTAGGAGTCTAGATCTCCGCGGTGGTGGATTCCACAGAGAGCATTGAATGCTATTAACAGAAACTTGATTTCAACGCTATGTGTTTCATACGAGCCGTGTGCACTGAGAACTTGGCTGTGTGCACTGTGTTGTGTCCCATGAGAAGCTCCTGTTTGTCAATCCTGTTTGTCACGGTCCTGTGCCGAGGTGCAAACCTTCATTTGTGCATCGAGGTCTGGGGCCCAGCTTACTGCTGTGATTCTAACCCTAAGTGCTGTGGAAGATCTGTCTGTAATACGGGATCTGTTGCTTTTCTGTTCTTCTAGATGGAAGAAGATAAGGGTTCAGTCAGCTCAGCACATGAATTTGCTGAAAGCCAGCACAGAGGGGAGGCCGGTAGGCACCTGCTAGCCGAGGCTGGCGGCCGGCAGGACAGTTGTTGCGAGCACTAGGTAGTACCGCGCGGCCTCGCGTGCGCATGCGGGAGCGCCGCCCTCCCCGCTGCCACACCGCACCGCACCACACCGTGTCTCATCTGCTGCTTCGGCCCAGTGCTTTCCGTGTGTCATGGGCTTCACATGTTCATCTTGTATGTCCCTGAATATCTTACTAATCCTCCTTTCAGGTTGCGGTAATAAATCATTCTCTACCTCATCCTCCAACCTAGTGTGGTGTCCTCACAGCCTCTAATCTTACATTCGGGAAATGACTCCCTCTGAAGATCTGTCATTTCTGAGATCATTCCTCCTTGGAGCTGTGTGTCATTTTATGCATCTTCACATGGGGAGGCACTGATTTGCTCATCTAAGTCCACTCCCGAGCTGAATGCTGTGAGTGCTTAGTGGTTTTCTGGTGATATTTAACAAACTTAGTTCTTTTAGTAAATTACAGTTTTATCTTTGCAGTATAAATATGAACTGACAATAGATTCGTTTAGTCCCCTTTTGAGTAATACACTGTAATCACTTACTAGGATATGCAGAATATTTGATCGGTAGTGATTAGGAGGAATAAAACATTCTCCTCCTGAGGGTTAATCTCGTGTAGGGTGGCAGGTGGTTCTTCCCGTGCCCGAACTGAATGCACAGAGAGACCCTGTCTCAAAAAGACAAAAACACAAAAAAGGCAGTGAGCCTAGGCTTATTTTAGGAGAAAGTTCCACAAAGATGGCGGCTGATTACGGTGGTCTTGTGTGGCCCTGTGCTCCATGGACGTTTTGTTTGGCAGCCCTCCTGCCTCTGAATTATGTGTTGTTTCTCGGAAGCAAGTGTAGTAGAGTGAAGCTTAGCTATAAATCAATAATTGGGTAAAGTAGAAGTTATTTTTGGTTTCACTAGGTAGGCTCTGTTCTCTGTCTAATTTTGCTTTTTATTTCTTTTCTAGTCTTATCCCAAAGTGCTGTGGTTCTCTCCCCTTTCTTTGAGTGAAACAAGACCAAATGTCCCCTCCACTTCTCCTGTCAGCTATCGCTGTGGGTTCTCTGGCTGAGGTCAGAGATGCACGTGTGGAGAAGCAGAAGTGCGTGGAGGTTCACTAGAGATCAGTAGAGAGCTTTCCAGAAACACAGCCGGCTTTCAGCATTTTCAGAGCAGCTAGGTGGTTCTGTCTGTTTTCGTTTTTCCTGTTTAGGAAAACAAAAGAAAATAGGTTTGACGTAGGTCAGAAGTAATCTGAGGAGTCATTTTTTTCATGATACATTTGACATTTCCTGATGTTTACTGTCTCTCTCTCGGGTTGTCCATGTTTTAATCCACGTCTTTAGATTACAGTGAATGCAAAACAAGAAAATTCCCTAAGGTCAGCCCCAGACCTATGCATACCCAGTGCTGGTGATCAGATGTCAGCTGCAGTGAATCTTTCAATGGACTGAGCAGCAGCTGGATGCAAAGTATGTGTCATTCAACCAGGAAGTACCAAAGAAGCCCCCTGCCCTCACCCGCCCCCAAATAAATGTGCTGAGGGGACAGTTTCCATGTTTGTAGTTCCCTGTCCATCATGGACCAAGTGCTTATGAATACAATAAAAATGAATTATTAAGAAAATGAAATTTTTAAAAATGTAGAAGTAATCCAGGTTTTTAAATTAGTGTGAGATTTAGCAGTTCCATCACATTGTTCTGTAAAATTGCTACTGAATGCTCTGAACCCTTCTCACAGACCAGAACCACTTACTTCATGGGCCCGATTTGCACATCAGTATTGAGCCAGGGATCAGAGCGGCTGTTTTGTGAGGGGACAGGCTGGCAGCTGCTCCCTCGGGCCTCTCGGAGCTTAGGTGAAGACACACAGTGCTTGTGCCCCAGGACGCTCACCCTCTTCCTTCAGCCTGGAAAGCCCTCCACCCCCCGCCAGCTGCCAGAGTCTGCCCACCCCCCAACACAGGTTTTAGATCCTTTCATCTCCTGCTGGGACTGCCAGCAGCATCTGGGCCTGAGCTTTGCCTTGTCTTTTCAGAGTAGTCTGTCTCGGAGCATGCTATGAGAAGCCAGGGTAGTACTTGGTAAAGAGCTTGGGAATTTAAAAATTAAACTGACACCCCAGCTTGAGTGAATGACCTTTAACACATGATTGACCTCTGTTTCCTGGTACAAAATGAGGGTGACCATACTGCCTGTAAGAGAGACCACCGTGTGCATTTTTAGTGAGCTGATCCGTGAGGTGGTGTGGTATGTTGCTGACTTGTCTGTCCCACCGGTTTCCTTCCTGAGAGGGTGGGATTGCATTTGTCGGGCTCCAGCGCAGTGCCCTGCCCAGTACTTAAGCTCAAATTTGAGTGCTCACACCACTTAGAAAGTGATGCTGAGAAGCAGCAGAATAGAACCCAGAGAGGAAGCGATAACTCATAGTTGAAAAGGGTAAGGACCCAAGTGTGCAGTCGTAAGTTCGATCCCTGGTACCAATAAAAACGAAAAAGACCAAAAAAAAAAAAAAAAGAAAAGAAAAGGGTAAGGACCTTGGTGTTAGAAGAGGCCACGTATGGGTCCTGATGAGTGGCAGTGCTGACACATCTCTGGCTGGCTGGGCGGAACCAGCGGCAGGCCTGACGGTGGGGCAGGATGGGCAGCCGACAGCCCGGGTAGCCAGGGCCCTCGAGGCAGGTGCAGGTGTCTGCAGGTTCCATGGCGTGGGAGCACAGAGTCCAGGTTCCTCTGAGGATGACTGGAACATTAGGAGAAACTGGAGCGCAGGGCCCAAAGATGAAGCTGGGAAAGGGAAACTGAGGAAATCCTGTTTGCTAAACCCGTGTTTCCTGGGCTGTTCTTCAGAATAGTAGTGTTCCTTCAGGTGCAGAATAGTGTCTCCTGGTGCACAGAGATGGAGAGGGCGGTGCACAGAGAATTTGGAGAGTTATGGTAACCCGGGCTCTCCTCATAGACTGGCCTTGAACTTGACTTGGTGACAATCTTTTACTTAAAGTCTGTTTAGAGCTTCACTGAGTTTAGTGCTTCCCAAACTTCAGTTAGCCATAGAGCTTTTTTTTTTTTTTTCTTTTTTTTGGTGAGATACCTGTAAACACCTCACAAATGAGTTTAAGGAACAGTGCCCTGCGCAATCCCAAAGCACACGTATTCAAGTGAGAGAACACGGGAGGTTTCATTGCATCTCACCGCTTAGCAAATCACACAGCGCTGGTGCACGCTGGCAGCTGCCGAGCCAGAGTGGGGCACCCTCCCCATGACACGGTCGCTGGCCCTCCTAAGCCCGTGTCTTCCCCTGCCCTCCCCGTTGCTGTCCACCATGAGTATCTCCACACACATCCTCTGTCCCATGTTCCACATCACATCAGTGATTCCCAACCTCTTCTGCCAAATTCATTTTATGTTCTTCCTTTTTTCAAAAGATCTGTCAATGGGATGTTACATACATAAAGGAAAATGACTTAGGGTTGTCTTTGTAAGTGACAACCCTTCACACTGGAGAGGCACTATTGAGTAGTGAAACTGAGGTTGAGATTCATAAGATGTGCTCAGACCATTTTTTTTTTCTCAGACCACTTTTATTTCCTCATTTTCACACATTTTTAAAATTGTCAGAAGTTACAGAATTAAGTTGTCTTGCTGGGCTATTTATGCATGAATCCGCATAAATTTTGTGTATTTGAGAAATTCAACTTTAATAGTACTATTAAGTTGTTTAATACATTTTAATCTGTGTCACCAGATTACTTTTAAAAAGCAAGATAAGCTAATTATTGGCATGGATGCCACTTAATCCTTGTTTAGCAATGTAAAGCAGCCAATACCTTTTTCAGAAATGACTGTGGAATAGACAAACGTGGCATGCTTACAGGTTGCATGAAGGGTCTGCTCCTGCTGCTATTCTCCTTGGAGACTTCAGGTCTGCCAGGTTGTTACTTCCCAGTGTTTGAGGAGTCCATACTCTACTCTTCTCAGTTGCTGGATGTCTGTATTGTAACTGCAGGAGCGTTTCACATAAACAAAAACTCCAAGAAGAATTAGAATTCACTAAGCTCAAGTGGTTGACGTAAGTCAATTTGACCATATTAAAAGCCTAAAATCCTTCACTGGAGTTGTAATTTAGGACACAAGGTCTTTAAATGTTTTCATATGATTATATTCTATGGAAGCTTCATGCATTTCCATGTTGTAGAAAGCATGTATATTTATATACATTACTTTGGGGTGTAAAGTACTTGTCATTTTGTGAGTACCTTTTAGAGATTCCAGTCCACCAGTAACTCACTTTTCTGCTTCTCTCCCTCCAGCTTACTGAAACAAATGCAAGTGTCAAGTGCTTGGACTCCGTGTGCTGTTTCCCGGGAGAAGCAGCAAGCGCGGCTGTTAGAAGAATGCTGGCACGAGCCGTAGGAAGGTGCGGCCCCGCCCACCTCAGCAGGTGTGCCATCTCCCTAAGTAGCCTTTGCTGCAGATGAGTGTCCAATAAACGATAAACCGAGCGAGCAGAGAGGAGAGGATGGACCTGCGGCTCTAGATCCCCAGGTGGTCAGCAGTGGGCTCACCGCTGCTTCCCAACTGATGCGGGCAGTCTCCTTGGTTTGCACTCTGATAGCACAAAGGCAATTTCCCTTTGTGGCTTGGGGCGGGGTTCTTTCACTCACAGGAGGAAAAGGCATCTTGGAAGAGACTCCATTTGGTGCACAGAAAGTTCTGTTTTCTGATCGTGCTAAGATGTGGTGAACAGGAGTGTGTATGTGTTACTGCTTCTAGCTCTTGGTTTGTGTGACTTTCTTTTTTATACTGCTGTTTATTTTCTGCTGCTATTTCCCCCTGCTTTTTGTCTTTACAAAACAACCTCCACATATAATGAAGTCAGAAGTCTTTGCTTTTCTTATTCTTCATGTATATTTTCTTACCAGCCATTCAGTGTTAAACACAAAAAGCTGTATTTCCGTTTCCTGCCCCTTTTTAATGTCTGTAATGAAGTTTTGGAATGAGTTATGATTGCTCAGTGTCTTTTACTTGGCATTTATTGATTAAATTACAAATCAGAAGAATCTTAGCATTTTTGTCACCTTCCAAATCTATTTCTTCAGTTAGACTTATCACAGCTTCCTTTTATGAATCATAACCAAAAAAGATAATTTTTGGTAAATGCCATTTAAAAATCACTTGAAGGTGAATGGATTCATTTCTTCATACTTCATGTTTGTGAAGGTGTGTATCGTTATTGTGATGGAAATTGCAGAATAATCACTTTCTCTGCATTTGGTGTTGGTTAACTGAATGATATCATATTCATGAAACAGGAGCAGCATTTCCATGGGGTACACGAAGGGTTAAGGAGGGCACAGACTGGCGTAGGTGACCATTTTCCCAGGGCACCACCTGAACAGCACCACGCACTGTGTGTGCCACTGCTTTGAAAAGCTTCATTTCTTGAGGCAAGGAACAAGGAGTTTAACCTATTGATAAAAAAAAAAAAAAGGGTTTGGTTACCTTTGTGTTTTAGAAAAATGATTATGATATCATTCATGTATTAAAATCTGGGTATCTTTTATTGGTGAACTCTTGGTTTTCACTTTTGGCCATGTGTTTATGGTACATTTCAATTGATAAATAGCATTTTTATGTTAACATAATGTTGATGGTTTCACTCCCTATTTATTCTGGCCTGATTATAACATGTGATTCAGAATATTTCCATAATGCTATGATACCATTTTAGAGTAAGTTCATCTCACATAAAAGGATTACTGCAGGTAGTTAAATTTATCTAGATTTTACACAGTTGTACTGTAAAGTACACTATCACAGAGTAGCTCTTTAATGAACGTAGGCAAGTGAGTTTCCACCCCTGAGCTAGTGATGCTGCGGGAGGGTCTAACTTATGTGTTGTTTAGCTAATGACAGCTTTCTCACACAGAGCAGGATGGGAAATAGACTAAGATACTCTGGTAAGAGCTAATTTTATAACTTCCTACTTGGACATAAATTCCTCTTTAAAGACGGTATGCATCTTTACTAATGATTTCTTTAAAACTTATATTAATTTTAAAAGAGCCAGATATGTTTTCTGCATTGTGCACATGCCCAGCTCTTTGGTATAAATTGTTCGGGCTCTGGGACCCAGTGCCCTGTGTGGCCCCATTGTGCAGGTCACCCTGGGAGCCGGCCCAGTGCTGCTGGGCTAGGCTCAGTGGACTCTGCCAGGGACCCCAGCCATTTCTATGTCCCTTCACTCAAGTGTGCTGTACTCTTTTCTAACATGTTTTTCTAATAAAATGTGTAACTTAGCAAATAGTTTCATATTTGACAAATTATAAATGCCTTTGCAGTATTGTCAGCATTTCAGGTTGTAGTATTAATGACTTTGTCATTTTCCTCTTTCTGTAGATGAATCAAAGTCATACAGTATACAGAGCTAGTTGGTGCTTTCACAAGGGCTATATGAACATTATAGTTAAAGAGAAATCATTGTTTTGATATGTAGGCTTGATTTGTTTTCTGTGTGAAGTATGTTTGGCATTTCCATTTGATTTTCAAGCAGCCTCTGTCCTGTGTTTCTGTTTCATGTCTGATCTGAGAATGGGACAGAGCTGAGACCTCTGTTACATGAGGCAGAAGCCCTTGGCATTGTGCTTCTTTGATGAGCATCATTTGAGAAACAACAGGGATGTTTTTTAATTCAGGTGTGCCGGGAATCGAACTCAGGCTGGCGCTCTACTGCTGAGCTATATCCCCAGCCCCAGGGATGTTCTATGACAGGTTTCTCAGCTGGTTAAATTCTTATCAATTCCCAGTCCCCCCCAAAAAAAATCTTATCTAGACAAAAAAGTTTCACTTACATTTTATTATTTGATGTTTTCAAAGGTGCATGCCACACTGCAAGCTCAGCTTCCAAGGGAAGCATCCTGGGGCTATGGGAAGGGTCTGCCCTGCTCTGCAGGGCGCTGTGGTGTGGCCACGATGATTCGCTCTAGGTGCTGCTTTATTCTAATCAGGGTGACCCTGACACAGAGAGGAGTTATCGTGCAGCTCAGGGGTGTGAAACCTGTCAGAAATTGTCCTCCACATGGAGCGCATGTGTGTCCTCTGAGAAGCTGAGCCATAGAGGAAAGCTTCCCGGGCTTGCTTTCACTGGGGAGGTAGCTCCGTGACAGGGTGCTTGTCTCCCATGGATGTGCTGGAATGTTCAATCCCCAGTAGCACCCAAAAGAAAGCTTTCTTCAGTGTAAAGAATAGTTGGAAATGGGAAAAAATAATATAAAATGTTGGCAGTTTGGAATTTGACTCCAGATAATTAGGGTGTTGACAAGTAAGTTAGCATTATAAAATGTAGCCCACCCCATAAATACTGTGTAAGAAGTCTCCATATGCTTATTTTTATTCATTCATTCTGCAAATACTGGTGCCTAATGCATGCCAGGCAAGTTTGGGTGCTGGAGAGACAGAAGTGAACCAGCCCTCTTCCAGGGGAGGCACTGATGTCCGGGCTTTTCTGGGAGCCAGGAGAACTAGAGAGCCGTGCGGTGGCTGCTTGTTCACCAGCTCTGTGATGCTTCTAGATTCCAAACTTGACAGTGACTCTCACCTCACTGATTCAAAAACAGGATACTTGGTGATAAGTGGGGCCCTTCTGAAGGCCAGCCCCCTCTGACTCCACTTCAGGGAAAGTATCCTCCCTGGCCGAAGTTGGGTGAAACACCTTACCGCTGCGGGCGGTTCATCTCACTGCCTTTTCCTTGGTGACCACCTCTGTCCTTAAACTAGTCTATCTACACATGGCAGGCAACTTTTGGTCATGTGTTATTTTAGTCTAAATTAATTCAAGTGAATTTAAATAAAGAACTACATGTTGGATTGCTTAAGGCCTTCTCACTCAGACAGTAGTTCACTTTTCCAAACCACTGGAGAAGCCCTCTTCCCTAGTGAAGTGGAAGTGGCTCCGATGTCTCTGAGTAACCCGTTCCCTTCATCCAGCTGTAGGCAGAAGTGGCTAGTACAGAATCAGTAGCTAAAATGTGTAACGGTAATATGAATGAGCCATCTCATTCCCAGGCTTTTGGTGCGGGGGAATTTGCGGTGGGTTTTTTCCTGGCTTGTTTTGTTTTGTTTCTGTAATGACAACCTATAGCCTAGTTGCTTTTCAGGAAAACTGTATGTAAGTTTTAATAACATACTTCTTTTTGGATTATTAAGATTTAAGAGCATCTTATGCTTTACTACCTACAGGTGATTTTTTTTAAGGCTAATGAATGTTGAATTCTGAATTTTGGCTAATATTTTTATATGATAATTAGAGCATACTCTTCCCAAGCTTTTGTAAGATGTAAATACAGTGGGATCCAGTGCTAGTATGAAGAGCTCTGTCAGCATTTAATAAGTGAGCCAGTCCGTAATTCTTTTAAAACTCAAATTGTATTTTAGTCCTATATTTTAAGATTCAGTTTTTTTCTCAATTCAAACATAGGCCCTGGTGAGCCAAACTTTTCTCTTATTGTTACTCTAGATCGTGGAGTGCCTCGGATCCTTTCTGTACCAACGACAGGAGCGTCTTGACTCTCTCCACAATGGACTCTTCTACTTGCTAAAGGGCAGTAGTGCTTGTAGAGCCGTGTCGCCTCCTCCCCTCAGATTCAGGGCTGATCATCCGTAAATGGCCATTCTGGTTCTGAAGTCACTCTGAAACCTCTGGCGTAGTTGAGACCCACTCCGAAACTGTTTGGCAAACAAACAGAAATGGGAGCCTTTCTCTCCCCTAATCTGAGTATGAACACATCAAAACTTGTGACTCAAGAGACAGTTCCATTTTTTTGGTCCAGGTTGTCCTGCGCACACGGGACTCCTAACGGCGTTTCAGCATGTTGCTGAGGCCGCCACATTTTAATGTCAAGATAGAACATGAGATAACTCCTTATGTATGTGTATTTTTTAGAATTAGATTGGTTATTGACTTCTATTTAAATCTGCTTCTGTAAATTATGCTGAAAGTTTGCCTTGAGAACTCTATTTTTTTATTAGAGTTATATTTAAAGCTTTTCATGGGGAAAGTTAATGTGAATATAAGGAATTTTGGTACCTCAGCAACTTGTGTTGTTAATTCATTAGCGCGCTTTAAGCGCACGGAGCAAACCAGGAGAACGCCTTCCGCCACTGTTGACTGTGACGCCGGATTCCCCTAGACAGGCGGCGGCTCAGCCAGGAAGCTGTGTGCGTGCAGGGCGCGTCATGGGGCTTAAGGCAGAAAAGGTCTCTGCACCAGACCTCAAAGTGATATTTACCAGTGGCTTTTTTTTGTTTGTTTGTTTGTTTTTTGCTTTGTTTTGCTCAAATATAAAGAACCTCTATTGGGGGCTGGGAATTTAGCTCAGCGGCATAAGCGCCTGCCTTGAAAGCAGGCAGTCCTGCTTTCGATCCCTGGTACCAATAAAAACGAAAAAGACAAAAAAAAAAAAAAAAAAGAACCTCTATTGATTAATTGGATATCATTTTCATCATTAATTTAATGTCTTTATCATTGGCTCTTTTGCATGCTGTAACCTGGCTAATATAAATTTGGGTTTTCTCTCTTCCAAAGGCTCTGTTTTTAATAGAATTTTATGAAAATGTTGTAAAGTTCAGCTCTATCAATAAAAAGCAAGTTTGGACAGTACTTATATATTGCAAATAGTTTTGATTATACAAATAAATGGAAATATCATTAATTAGATTCATAATAAGACAAGAGCACATCTTTATGACCAACTTAGAATTACTCCTGCTCTTCTGTAAGCTAAATTTTAGGGTAAAGGATTTCCATTAAGAATCTTGTGATTTCTAGGTTAGTGTATGTCACAGAAGTTACTGTGGACCCCCACAGTCGGTTACATTCTGCCCGGTGTCCTATCACAAGGTATGTTGTCGGGTGTAACTGGTGGGATGTAAATGAAACAAAGTCTAAAATACTAAATTTTTTTCTTTTGTTCTGTTTTTTCTTTTTTTGATACTGGGGATTGAACTCATGACCTTGCACTTGCCAGGCAAGTGCTTGCACCACTGAGCCAAATGCCCAGTCCTAACATACTAAAGTTTTAACAACAGTAAAATAAAATGCTAGAATGACTGATCAGTACATGTCAGTCTGGTTAACTCCTTGCATCTCAAAACTTAAGTTTCCATCTTGAATTTGCGTTGCCATTTGTTTCATGAAAAGTAACGTTTTAAGTCCTGGAAAGATCATTGGTTTAAGAATGCTTATCTACTCAGCTTATAATGAGCATATACAAGATGAAGATTGTAAGAAAACGGTTAAATGACGTTCTGCCTAATTGTCCCTTCGGGATGTAATTTGTTTTTGGAGATGTTTTTGTACAACTCTCCCTTTGTCACATCACAAATACAACTTTGAGACGCAGGTTGAAGGATAAAAATTAAGAACGGTAGAAGGAGAATTAAGACTTTGCCTGTGTTTGCTGGTGTTTATCTGCTTGCTTGTGTGCCATTTGTCTCTAAATAATGCAAGATGTTACATTCTCCATTTCAGGCTAGATGCTAATTTTCATAAACAACCCTTCTTGGATTTTCCAAAGTTAAGTTTAGGAAGAGTTTTTGCTCTGGAAATGCATTAAAGGGATAGATAGTACAGCATACAATACATAAACTCACTGATACGCGTTCCAAAGGGCAGGTAGTGCGGAAACATTCAGTGCAGTAGTTTAGTAGACAATAATAGGAAATGTGCTTCCTCTTAGAGTGTCTGCTGCAGTGTATGTGTGCGAAGTGATGGCCAGGCACACAGCACGCGCCTGAAATCCCTGCACTCAGGAGGCGAACGCTGAACAGTCGTGAGTCTGAGGCCAGCCTGGATTCCATAGTAAGACTTTGTCTTAAAAACAGTAACAAAAACCCACTGAAAGTGACATTCAGCAGCCCGCATTCTGCCTGCCTAACCAGTGTTCATGTGCCATCAGGCAAGCTGACCACAACACCAGATGAGGGCGCTAAAATCTACTGGCCTCCACAGGGCTCAGCACTGTGACAGTCAGGCCTTTGTCCCTTGGCCACTGCAGTTAGCCCAGGGGAGCATCTCTCCTGGTGTTGGGCACCAAATGCAGGGCCTCACACCGGCCATGCAGGCAGGCATGCTGCCACTGAGCTACATCCCAGCCCCATTTATTTAAAAAAATTTTAAATCACTAATGGTGAGGCTGTAACCTGGGGTAGAGGGCTTGCAGAGTGTGCAGAGGCCCTGAGCTCACTCGCCAGCACCAGTCTGTCAGTGACGCCCACGAACGTCCCTCCTGCTTTAGAGTCCAAGACTTACTCCATTGGTAAAGAAAGGCTACCTTGTAATTTTAGGAGGAGGATTGTCCCGCATCTATTTAAGAAGGTAACTGTGGTTCACAAGCCTTCAGTAGTTTCCTAGTGCTAATACCCATGTTACAAACTTGACTCTGGTCAGCAATTACAGACGCTTCCCTTTTTACACTATTTCTGTCAAATTCTGTGGGAAGTACATGCTGAAAATTAACACCCTCCTGTCTGCTGGGGCCATGGTAAGGCTCTCCATGTGTCACTGCTGGTCATGCAGTTGGCCGCACATCTGCGAGCCCCACCGCTGGCCTGGGCCCTGAAGATAAGGGTACCCAATGTGTTCCCAGCTGCCATCCGCTGCTCCAGGCAGGTGACTCAGCAACCTGCTCACCGAGGGGAGCCCAGCTGCCGGGGTTTGCCTGGGGCCACGGGGGAGGTCGGGGGCCTGTGGGCCTCCAAGTCCCCAGCCCTGGTGCACCGCAGATAGGAAGAAGAGCCGGGCATCTCCCACCGGAACGGCTGCCCTCTGCTCTTGGTGCCGAGACTCAGCTCGCCTCCACTGCAGAAGCCTGAGACTCAGCAGGCAGGCGGCTTAAAAGCCACCCTGAGGAGCAGGGGGTGTTCAGATTCCTGCTCCGAAAATCTTGAGGGCTGAGGGAAAGGAAGAATCTTTCACATTTGTGTTTGCCCTGTAAAAAATCACTCTTTGCAGGGAACTTTTAAAAGGCAGGTTCTGATAAAACGAATGAACCAAAGAGTTTTATGTGGAACGTGTTTATTAATTTTAGTCTCCCTTGATGTCTTTGTCTTCTACACTAAAATGAGTCATCGATTTTCATAAAAGCAAAGCTTTATTAAAATGCTGTTTGATGTGTGAAACAATGTGAATGCTATTCCTATTAAGAACATAACTCATGTTTGTAATGCTGGTGATAGATTTTTATGAATAATGGGCAGCTGGAGTCATGTAGTGATACTTAGTTATAATTTCAGACCTCAGACACTGTGGCTATGTAATGTAATCCTTTAAAAACCCTCTGCACTGTTGGTGACTAGTATTCTTATTGTACAGTACCCAGTATTTTTATAAGGTTTATGAAGTTATATTTATCAAATAAAATTTTTCCTACCTGACAAAGTGTTTCTCTGTTATTTAAGTATGTTAAGACTGCCCATTGTAACAAGCTCTGCTTAACTTATTGCAAGTTAGAATTTCCCTCCCCCGCCCCTCCATGCTACTGCAGGGATATCACCTTTTCACTGATCGCATTTTTTAAGGTGTAAGTTATGTGAATACCCAAATTTTATAAATCATCAATACAGCTCCTAAAAAAGGGTCCCATAGAAATGCATCCGCAATAAAGACCAACGCACTTCAACGAGAAAACTGCAGTGTTCGTGAGAAGCCAGGCAGGATCCTGAAGTACCCTGTAAAGAGCGTGCTTTTCAACGTCCAGCTGTTACTTTTGCTCACACGGTAGCGTGTGCAAAAGCTGGGAACACATGGGTTACACCATTCAATTCTCAAGCTGGAAGTCTGGACAAGTCGGTTTTATCTTGGCGGCTTTTATATTTGAAGAGTGGAGCACTCAGATTCCCTGTAGGTGACTTCCAAGTCCTAATGTACAACAGACAGGAGGTGGCAAAGTGTGTTCTGACTGCAGAAGAAATTCAGGGTAGAAAAACCCATTCCACTGGCAAGCACAGGCGAAGAGCAGCTGGGGTCTAACGGGAGCAGCACACAGGTGAGGATTTGCTGCCTCACTGTACGAGCCCTCTGCTGGGTCAGCCCGGTTCCTGCGCCCATTTAAGGGAAGACTGCTGGTACTCTGATAGGAAATGTAGATGGGAAGGGGACATAGGCTTTAAGGTTGCCATTCAGTCATTTTTGACACCTGTATAATTGGTTAACCCGTAATAAAAATCTAAATTCCAGGAAGCTCCCTGTGCATCTGACTTCATCCCCTCTTCCTGCTGTTTCTCTGATTTCCGTGGTTGTGGGTGCATGTTTCTGGCCTCAAATCCCACAAAATGTACGGTGCACTCTCTCTTCCTCCAGCTTGGCTCTTGAGCCTCGACAGCTCATCCACACGGCTATGCAGGACTCTGCCCTGCAAGAAGATAGTTTCCTTCCCCGTCCTCCGTGTGGACATTCAGAGCTGGGGCTGGTGGAGGGAAAACACTGGGTGCTCTTGGTGTACACGGATTCTCACTTCTCGGCTAAGAGGCGAGTGGCCGCACCCCAGAACATTCAGGTGTACAAGAAGTTGCCAGCGTGGTTCCAAAGCAACCGTGTGGACCACTGTACCCCCACCAGCAGTTAGGACTGTCACTGCCGTCTCCTGGAAAATAATCAGCGTCTTTGATTTTTAGCCATTCTAACGGATGTGCAATGATATCTCACTGTCTTTTTAATTTGCATGATGTGTAATGTTTACCCTCTTTCTTACACTCATTAGTGACTTACTTTTTTCCTGAAATAATCTCTTTTTGGTTTTTTTGAGACATGGCTTCACACTATGTAGTTCAGGCTGGCCTTGAACTCAGTGATCCTCCTGCCTCAGCCTCCTGAATGCTGCACTTACAGACCTGTACCACCACACCTGGCTGTGGTCATTTTATCATTAGCCTTTAATCGTTGAGTAGTAGGGATGGTCCTTACAGGTACAGTGTTGCTAGCACTTTGCCCCATCGGTGACTGGCCTGTTTACTCACTTAACGGTAACACTGGAAAGCGAGATGCTTTACTTTGATAGGTCTTTTCTTAAATCCTGCTGAAAGCAGATTGACCATATAAACAGGGTCTTCCGTGGGCTTGTTCCTTGATCCTTGCATGTTGCCTTGATTGCTCTCGTTTTCTAACATAGCAACTGCTCTGCGCTGAGCTGCACCCCAGCCCCACCGTCTATAAGGTGTTTCCCCTTTACCTGAGGCAGTCGGATTGTGATTTTGTTTTTGTGCTGCTTTTCCTCTACTGGGAATCGAGCCCAAGTCCTTCACACTGAGCTGTATCTCCGCTTGCTCCCCTCCCCCTTTCTAGTGACTTTAGTGACTTCAGAGTGAGTTTATTTTGCCCATACTGAGCTGGAATTTGCAGTCCTCCTGCCTCAGTCTCTTGAGTGCTGGGATTACAGGTGTGCACCAGCACGCTAGTTTCGTACGTGTTTTTTGTAGATTGATGATATGTTGGATTAGCTCAGTTGATTTTTTTTTTTTTTTTGGAGGGCCCTGTGCCCGGACTGCCACCTCCCACAGGTCCTGTCTCCCCTACCTCCCAGCAGCAGGTGCAGGCTGGGGTTGGCTCCATGGCAAGGTACCATGTACAGGTTCTGGCTTCAGTGTCCCATGTTGCAAATAAATGAATGACAAATAAGCAGATGGATCTCAGCTCAGCGCAGCTTCGAAGGGAACATTCGGAAACCAGCATTCGCCGATGCGGTGTCTGCCTGGGATGCTGCCTGCTTTCCCCTCATTTCTGTGCAGCAGCCTCACCAGACCAGTGTGAGGATGAAACTCGCCTCATAAAATGACCGAAGGGATAGATCTCCCTCTTCTGTTTCCTGAAAGACTTTACAGTAAGGTTGGTATCATTTAATTTGTAAAATTTGTCAGCATCCTCTGGTCCTAGGGTTTGTCTGCTTGTGGGAAATTTCATATTACACATTTGATCTTTGAAGCCATCTGCTGTGTGTAGTTCTTGTGACCTGGCAAGGACTTTGTCTCTGTCACATAACTACGGTATATGTGATGCAAACTTAATTCAGACTGTTCTTTGATTAGCCTCACAGCAACTCTGAGATCTGGAGTAATGTCCCTGCCTTCTGCTTGAGGTCAGTAACTTTTTTCCAGCCCATCTGCTAAGATTTTAACCACTACACTCTTCCCGAAGGAACAACTTTCTGGCCATGAGCATTTCCTGTTTTCTATTTTATTGCTGTAGGCTTGCATCTCTGTTGTTCCATTTGACTGTCACTTGCTCTTCCACGACTTGTTCGAAGCTTAGAAGACTGATTTAAGCCTTGTTAACGAAGGCATTTAAAATGATAATTTCCCTTTCGTACTGCTTTAGATACATTACATAGATTTTTCATTGTCAGCCTATTTTCTTTCGATTTTTTTTTACCCCTAGATGATTTAGAAGTGTTTTGTTTGCTTCTAAACATTTTGGGGTAATACAGCCTTTTAGCTGACTTCTAACCCAGTTATACTCAGAGAACATTCTGCTTGGAAATCCATCCAGGCCCAGCCTGCTGTCTAATCTCAAGTGGTCAAATACACTGTGGGCTGGAGCTTTTTCCCGCCGTGTTCTGTTAATATCCAGTATGTTAACTTGACTGATGGTGTTTCTCAAATCTGTATTTTTTTTAAAGAGGATAAAACCAAGAGAACAAAACAATAAAGCCAATAAAATAGACCAGTGTAAGTGATATAGGACTTCCAAACCTTAAGAAATAAACAGTCGTTACCATAATGCCTCTTGTCGGCATTCAAAATAGCTGCAGATGCCTTTGGATCTAGTAAAAATCAAACAATAGAGTAGAAACAGTAAAAACAAGACAATGAATGCAATAAAAGACTTCAAAACAAGCCGATAGTAAATCCAAAATGGCTACCATAATATATCTTGCTGTCTTTGAAATAGCTGCTCCTGCCATCAGATTTAGCATAAACAAAAGAGAATAAAACCCAACCCAAGAAAACAGTAGAAAAGATAGTTTCCAGGTGGGCATCACCTCCCTGTGAGGCCTGGTTCCCTCCACAGTCCATAAATGGCACTGATTCACGGAGCTCAAATCTGTGTTCTTACTAGTTTGGTTTTTTGTTTGCATTTGGTCGTGTCTGTCAGTTACTCAGTAACTAGCAAAATCTCCAAGCATAACTGTGCTTGGTTACCCAGGCCAGGCTGGAAGTGCACATTCCTGCCTCAGCCTCCCTGAGCCCCAGCTTACAGGAGTGAACCCACTGCACCCAGCTCTCTGGTCAGTTTTTATTCATGGCATTTTGCTATTAGTGTGAAGATGCATTTATGATTGTTTTGTTTTGATGAATTCTTTTTTCAATATGAAATGACCCTGTTTATCTGATGTAAAAATAACCACAGTATTCGTACTGTGCCCATGTACGAATCTTGAATGTCTCAATACTAGTACGAATACTAATATTTTCACAGTATTTTCTAAAACCCACGGAGCATTATTAGAACAGCCAGTTTTTTAGAAATTAATATTTTTAAGTCTTTTACTTAAATTTGCAACTAACAACAGACTTCATTCTTTCCAGATTTGCACTTACTCAAAAACTAACCAAATGCCACAAGATTATCTCTTGCGGGGTTTGATTTGTTTGTTTTTTAAGTCAGGGTCTCACATTATGTAGTTCAAGTTGGCTTTGAACTTAACTGTGTTGTAGCCTAGGCTCCAACATAGCCTAGGCTCCAACATAGTGATCCTCCTGCCTCAGCCTCAGGGGCGATGGGTTACAAGTATACGCCACCACTCCCAGCTAAGATTGCATTTTTATATGCTACCTTATCTAATATTTTAAATTGCTTGATAACAAAAACAGATAATTGATCATTGAGAATGAAAATAACATGAACAGGCTGGGACCAAAGCCTAGCATGGAGCAGTCTTTAGATCTTTTATTAATACTGAGAAAATTCTGTAGAATTTCTGGTACAGGCTGCACCCTTCATACCCACTGGTTGAAAAAACACACACATAAGAATATAAATACTCTTTGCATGGGCAAAGCTATACCTGGAATAGAGCCACCCTGCAGGGCCTTTAAAAATAACGTGCGTTTGAAGCTAGCTGTGGTGGCCTGCGCTTGTAATTCAGGCTAAGGCAGGAGGAATGCAAAATCAAGACCAGCCTGGGCAAGGCGTGAGGTCTTGTCTAGAAATCAAAAGGCTGGGGGTGTTGCTCAATAGGAGGGCACTGAATTCAAGTCCTCACACCACCCTTGCCCCAAAATCTGAAGGCAAGTTACAGATTTCTCAGTGAATCCAGAGAGGAGTGTTTAAATCTGTCAGTTACTTTGTTTCCCTTTGAAAAATCCCCCCCAAGGTCGCTGCCTGTGGTCAGAGTGAGCCCACGTGGCGCAGCAGCCACAGTCTTCAGAGGCCTTGGGAGGAGG